AAGGTTTATCTAACACAATCAAAAGTGGAAAGATGTACGCATATTGTCCAAATATTTTTCTATTCTGCATACCCTACGGAGGTCAATTCAGCAGACTTTTTTAAGAGGATTTATAACTGACCAGAAGACAATGAAACTACATTTTCACTACTACAACTTTTAGTATGGATCCCAAAAACCAACTTACTTGAATACTTTCAGATAAGAAACGTGGATGGACACACACAAAACCAAACTATGCGGAGTTAGCCAGTCAATCGGTTTGAAACAGCATATGCTGCTGGATACACATATTTTCCAAAATGTAATCTCTGCTATTTTATATACCACACAGCCTTTAATGCACATTTACGACAGAGATATAGAGATCACACTGTAGTCAGAAATAAATTTTCCTTGTACGTCGTTGAGCATTCGTATATCGAAAAATATTTCAAATAAAATTTTAAAATCTTAACGAGATCCATATTTTACTATCATTTACTTATTTTCCAAATATTGCTTACTGAACCAAAACAATGTGTGAGAAACAAAAGTGTTTATTACACATGCATCGTAAAAAAAGCAATCACCTCTTCTATGAGAGCCCGTGGGCACTAAATTGTTATCACATGTAAAAGGCTTTTTATGTGTTGCAGTACAGGGAGCTATCTGGCAGCATGACCATTACATTAGTTGCCACTTTTCACACTCCGTAAACTGTGGCAGTGATGGTTACCTGATGAGTCAGCAGCACTGATAAGAGGAGTCTGTGACTCAGTGCAGATAAGTTTACTCTAATGCATCAAATATTTTTGTACGAATTTTAAGTGAAGCATAACTTCACTATGAAGAGTCACGGGAAATTCAGAATAAAATCTCCAAGGGCTCAAGTTTCGAACAGAAACATTATTCAGAACTGCGTCGATGATCAAAGGACACCTAGCGAGTTTCAAGACAGGAAACGCAAATGCCGAAACACGATATTAATAGAACAAAAACTGGATGATGTCAGAGCTTGGCTTGAGCTGGCCTTGTTGGCCACTTACACACCTTTCGCAAGAAACAGGAGTATCAAAAAAACTACAACAATATTACTGAATCTAGAAGTCGTGCATTTACAAGATTCGGCAGCCAGACTTATATTTTGCAACTGGTACCTTCACTCAGTAAGAAACAGAGCTTGGAAAAATCGTTCATCTTATTCTAGTATAGCAGGATTTGAGGTTTTCACAGCGGTGAGTCCAAAGATGGCCGTTTTCTTGTCCTAGAACTCTGTACCCAGAGAACAACTACAACATATGGACCAGAATCTGTTCTGAAGCTGAAGGGAATATATTGGAGCCAATGAGAAATATTCTCAGCATCGCCTGTTATGCAGATCAGTAAATTTTAGTCTACGGTATCGATGTAGTCTATCATCACAGGTGAGCAACTAGATGAACACGGTGTTTGAACATAGTGCAAAGGCTGTGCCTGGTATGACCATCAAAAATCTGAAGATTTCTGTCTTCATCGCCCTGATGACGGAGGCAGTATGACCTCTGCAACGTTCGTTAACATCGACCAGACTACACAGCGCAACAACCCAGAAGACAGAAATCTTCATACTCTTCGCCCTGATGACGGAGGCAGTATGACCTCTGCAACGTTCGTTAACATCGACCAGACTACACAGCGCAACAACCCAGAAGACAGAAATCTTCATACTCTTCGCCCTGATGACGGAGGCAGTATGACCTCTGCAACGTTCGTTAACATCGACCAGACTACACAGCGCAACAACCCAGAAGACAGAAATCTTCATACTCTTCGCCCTGATGACGGAGGCAGTATGACCTCTGCAACGTTCGTTAACATCGACCAGACTACACAGCGCAACAACCCAGAAGACAGAAATCTTCATACTCTTCGCCCTGATGACGGAGGCAGTATGACCTCTGCAACGTTCGTTAACATCGACCAGACTACACAGCGCAACAACCCAGAAGACAGAAATCTTCATACTCTTCGCCCTGATGACGGAGGCAGTATGACCTCTGCAACGTTCGTTAACATCGACCAGACTACACAGCGCAACAACCCAGAAGACAGAAATCTTCATACTCTTCGCCCTGATGACGGAGGCAGTATGACCTCTGCAACGTTCGTTAACATCGACCAGACTACACAGCGCAACAACCCAGAAGACAGAAATCTTCATACTCTTCGCCCTGATGACGGAGGCAGTATGACCTCTGCAACGTTCGTTAACATCGACCAGACTACACAGCGCAACAACCCAGAAGACAGAAATCTTCATACTCTTCGCCCTGATGACGGAGGCAGTATGACCTCTGCAACGTTCGTTAACATCGACCAGACTACACAGCGCAACAACCCAGAAGACAGAAATCTTCATACTCTTCGCCCTGATGACGGAGGCAGTATGACCTCTGCAACGTTCGTTAACATCGACCAGACTACACAGCGCAACAACCCAGAAGACAGAAATCTTCATACTCTTCGCCCTGATGACGGAGGCAGTATGACCTCTGCAACGTTCGTTAACATCGACCAGACTACACAGCGCAACAACCCAGAAGACAGAAATCTTCATACTCTTCGCCCTGATGACGGAGGCAGTATGACCTCTGCAACGTTCGTTAACATCGACCAGACTACACAGCGCAACAACCCAGAAGACAGAAATCTTCATACTCTTCGCCCTGATGACGGAGGCAGTATGACCTCTGCAACGTTCGTTAACATCGACCAGACTACACAGCGCAACAACCCAGAAGACAGAAATCTTCATACTCTTCGCCCTGATGACGGAGGCAGTATGACCTCTGCAACGTTCGTTAACATCGACCAGACTACACAGCGCAACAACCCAGAAGACAGAAATCTTCATACTCTTCGCCCTGATGACGGAGGCAGTATGACCTCTGCAACGTTCGTTAACATCGACCAGACTACACAGCGCAACAACCCAGAAGACAGAAATCTTCATACTCTTCGCCCTGATGACGGAGGCAGTATGACCTCTGCAACGTTCGTTAACATCGACCAGACTACACAGCGCAACAACCCAGAAGACAGAAATCTTCATACTCTTCGCCCTGATGACGGAGGCAGTATGACCTCTGCAACGTTCGTTAACATCGACCAGACTACACAGCGCAACAACCCAGAAGACAGAAATCTTCATACTCTTCGCCCTGATGACGGAGGCAGTATGACCTCTGCAACGTTCGTTAACATCGACCAGACTACACAGCGCAACAACCCAGAAGACAGAAATCTTCATACTCTTCGCCCTGATGACGGAGGCAGTATGACCTCTGCAACGTTCGTTAACATCGACCAGACTACACAGCGCAACAACCCAGAAGACAGAAATCTTCATACTCTTCGCCCTGATGACGGAGGCAGTATGACCTCTGCAACGTTCGTTAACATCGACCAGACTACACAGCGCAACAACCCAGAAGACAGAAATCTTCATACTCTTCGCCCTGATGACGGAGGCAGTATGACCTCTGCAACGTTCGTTAACATCGACCAGACTACACAGCGCAACAACCCAGAAGACAGAAATCTTCATACTCGCCGCTGTGAAAACCTCAAATCTTACATCAAAAAATCTCTTTGTACTTGCACATATCACATTGCATGATGAACTGGTATTGTGAAAATCATTTAGCTTCATGTGAAACAGGTGTTATAAATAACTCAGCTAATCTGAACTGAATTTTGTGGTTCAGTGTTTCTCCACTAAATATTGTAACAATTTCCATTTAACAGACTAGTATCCACAACAGACTTCATTTTTGCACCGTTTCCATGGTCACAGTCATAAACACTTGTTAATGAACAAGCCAGTAAGTGAAGCAACAAACCAGTAGGTTACGTAACTGAAACATAAGGACGACGTTCAATCCGTTTCTTTCAGAAACATGCCACGTATAATAACACCAAATATACTTTCATTCAGCCCAACAAACTGCATTTTATGGTTTCTAAGAATATATCTAAGGCCTTGATTTGGAACTGATAATCTAGTCAATGTATTAGTTACATTTAATAATTAACGGTTTAACGGCCAAATTTTGTTACGACCCACTTGTTCAAAGACACTGTTCCTTGCCATATAATAAGGTTCTTAGCTACTTTTACTACGGCACTGAACTTTTTTAAAAAATGGATATATATGAGGTCAGTTCAGAATGTATCGGACCTTAATTTTTCCCATGGAAACAAATGAAGCACGGGAAGTGTCCTCCGGTGGGGGGGTGTAGGGGACCTTCATGCGCATGCGTGAATTTTTTCCCGCCCGCAGAGAGCGTCAGGCGCTGGCACTCAGCCTGTGAGTGAGTGTAGTGTTCTGTGTTTCTCATACTAAGAAATCACTGAAAAATGTTGATTCTAGGCTTTGTAGCTGGTTTATGCTGACTTGTAACTATTTTTGGATCGAGAAGTGCCTTTTGATATAATGACATGTTCCTTCACATTTTCAATTATCTTGGTTTAAGAAGCTGGCTAATCTCAATCCACAAAGATTGAGATCAGCTTTCTCAAAAGACGCAACTGATTAAGCTGCTCACCTGATGATGGAAACTGAGAAAGCTCCTAAAATGTAGTGTGGTTTCTAAACTAAGATGACGAAAAATGTCCTAGAATAGGCGTAAGTTTAATGACACAATGATTGTGCCTTAGCAAAGTACAGTTACATTCAAAATTCAAACAATTTACTATGACATGACCATTCTTTAGGTACAAAAGAGCAAAGCTGATATGTGTCGGACTAACCGAGACCCATGTTTCACTTCCAAAACTGAAAACTAACTTCAGTCATTGAAAGAATATAACGCGAAATAAAAATCCTAAATCTGAAAAAATCTACAGTAAACTTGCATATTTCCTACGCAAACTGCCCGTACGCAACACAAACATCAATGCCATCTCGGAACTGAGCACGCTTAATAAATTTGTGATGGCTTCACATTTAGTTACATATAAGTAAAAAGTTTACTCACCGCTTTCCTCTTGTCTTCGGCAGACACGGCACTGTGGGATCGATGACGAAACATATCCATCACCTTGGAGACTGGGCCCCGACCACTGCTACTCTCAGAGCCCGCACGCGGTCGTACCTGGGTGTGACCACTTGACAAGTCAACATGATTATGATGAGATGATGAATCAGATGACGATTTGTTGGACGGAGACGATGACATGTTAAGAGAATGCTAGAACAAAACATAACAGAGAAATATCTTAGTTATTTATAGTCTCAAGTCGACTGTATAAAATACAATAAAGTCTGTCTCGGGTACTATCTGGCCACCTAACATCTGTGTAGAGTATGTTTGTAAAACAACAATTTTAGACAAGTTAAGTAACATGAAAAAATCATATATTTGTTTTAGTGTGTCAATCCATCCATATCAATGCAGTAACCAAACTCCTGATAAATGAATTTTGGCAAAGTATTATATTCATTAATCATTATCAAATTCACTTTGCTGTAACTGGGAAAAACATATTCTGATATTACAAATGAACCCCATACATCCTTTCTCATTCTAAACAACTTTCAAAAAGGTTAAACTTATACTAAAGTCAGTTCTCTTGTTCATAATGCTATCAAGTCATTGCATTTGCTTCATACAAGCAATTTTCTTCAAAAAATGCCTCGGAGGATAAGTATTGCATAGTGGTTAGCATTTCTGCTTCGTGTTTGAGCCCCAAATGAAGCTCCTTCTGTGGTATTCTTCAATACCTCCTATCAAATACTAGGGCAGAACCCTACACAATTACGTTCTTCATAATTCAGCAATCATAAACATTATGCCAATCAATAATATATCCCCCATATACCAAGAAACAAACCGTGTGGTAAGAATAAACATAATGTACTGCATTGGTTATTAACCTTTTGTGTTTGGAAAGCAAACAGGATTATAACAATTTAAGAAATGAATAATAAGAACATACTGAATTTATTTTCTAATCTTTATAATGGACCTCATTTATATTTATTGTTAGTTATTTAAATTTTAAAAAACTCTATTAAAATATTAATTATTTAATAACAAACTAAACTGACCATATTCATTACATTTTAAAGAAATTTTAAGATTTGTTTACAAATATTTACTTCATAAATTTCACTTCCATATCCCTTACAGTTTTTTCAGTGTACAATACAGGACCAGTAATAATAATTAATAGCAAATAAATTAATTTCAAAACAGTTGCTCTGTAAAGAACATATCAGACAGGAGCACGGCACTTGCTAGCCTTGAAAACAAGACAATGGCTGCATTTGAAGAAACCTACCTTTGTGCGAGGCAGACACCACACTGCATTTGCAGTGGTTACGGGTCATACACCGCACTCACAAACAACAGTTTACGACAGATAACAACACACTGTTCAGGGTGATTAACGAGCGTGTGAGCACAACCAATCACCAGCCATGTAAATTAATTACCACTACAGTCTGACAATATTACAAGGGCATACGTCACTCATACTTGATACATTTCTTGCTTTCAATGTCCTACTCCTTTGGTATAAGATAAATTAAGGTGGTAGATGATAAATTTTGAAAATTCAAGATAAGATCAAAATATTCTTAGAAACAAACTTAATGATAGTTACTTTGGCAACGAGGAGCTGATGACTATCGAGAGTGACAGTATGTTGTAAGATTTGAGCTTTTTCACAGCGGTGAGTATGAAGATTTCTGTCTTCTGGGTTGTTGCGCTGTGTAGTCTGGTGAATCACCCTGATAACAGGGGCAGTATGACCTCTGAAATGTTGGTTGACCTCGACCATACTACACAGCGCAACAACCCAGACGACAGAAATCTTCATACTCTGATGACGGAGGCAGTATGACCTCTGAAACGTTGGTTAACATCGACCAGACTACACAGCGCAACAACCCAGACGACAGAAATCTTCATACTCTGATGACGGAGGCAGTATGACCTCTGAAACGTTGGTTAACATCGACCAGACTACACAGCGCAACAACCCAGACGACAGAAATCTTCATACTCTGATGACGGAGGCAGTATGACCTCTGAAACGTTGGTTAACATCGACCAGACTACACAGCGCAACAACCCAGAAGACAGAAATCTGACAGTATGTTGCTTACCCACATGGTTTCGTAAAACATTTAGTAATATAATATCAAAAGGAAAGTGCACAATATGTATATAGTTCGCTTTGCAGAAGTCAGTGTTTTGGAAGAAGAAATATAATCCAGCCAATATCAAAATGAGTTACTTCCAAGGAAAAGGAAGATGGTACTTGGAGATCACAGGCCAAAAGTTGTATCTCTCCTGAAGTCACAGAATTTAAAGCCCAGCAAACAATATGGTTGCATGCAGCTCACATGTGTGAGTAAATAATCTGAACTGTTAATAAAGTCTTCTCGGTCTATCAGCCATGTTATCTGTTGATTGATTGCCGACGTTTCAAGGACCATCTCTGTCCTCATTTTCAAGAACTAGTTCGCGCTACGAGCCACACAGTCAACAGCCTCGAAAATGAGCACAAAGATGGTCCTCGAAACGTCGGCGATCGATCAACATCTAACACGGCTGATAGCCCGAGAAGACTTTATTAATGAAAGCTGCCGTGAAAGCTTCACTTCATATAAAATCTAAACTGTTCATTCCACAAAACATTGTGCTATGAAGTTTACTACTCCTGTATTATTTCTGCAATGTAATGAATCAAATCTCAGCCAGGTTCGGGCAACCTAATTGTGATTTTTATTATTTTCATATGAGAGGCCTTAAAATAATTCATAATAACTTACTCTCTGATCCTTCATCCTATTTACAACTAATCACGCGTATAAATAACCTAAGAAGTCATCACAAATCTCTATTTTCTGGTAAACAGATTAGGTTTTCACCCTGTGCATGCCAAATATTGTCATTATTTGTAAGAATAAAACTATGAATATAAGCAGGAAGAAGTTTAGAAAAAAATTTCAGTTAATAAAGGGACTACATGGATCTGCTCCAAGCACGGAAGACAGCAATTCTAACATGAGTTATCTGAAGCTGAAAGGCATCTGTTCCGACAGTAAGAGATCTTGGTCCAGTTCCTAGGAGAGGTTTTATACTCAATATAGAATAACAGACCACGAACCTGTTTTAAAGAGAAACACAATTGCAAATAATAACGACAATAATACCTGCATGGCACTTTTCATCTGTGAGATGATGGTGCTGCCTGCACCAACGGGCTTCTTGGTGCGAGACGCATCTGACTTTGAGCGAGGCCTGAAGGCATCTAAGATTGTTGCGGGCTTTCGGGAAGGTGAAGAGGCTTGCTGCTGGTGCAGTATATCGTCCCCAGACTTGCGCCTTTGCCTGGAACTTGACCCGGTCGATGAGGAGGGTGTATTTGCGGCACTGGATGGTGAGGGACTTGATGAACCGTGACCCACGTTCAAGTGCCGAGTATGGGATATACTCCACGTTCCTGAAAATACATAACCAGAAGAATTATAACACTTTGCTTTTTGGATACTTGTTTCTGTCTGATCTACATCACGCTTCTGCCAAACCGAACACAGTGGGTCCTGTAAAGTGACAACTGATTCTTGGTTTTTTTTTAATTAAGTTGCTTCAAATAGTTAGCATTTCCTTTAAAAAGATACTTCGCAGGGCCTCAACATACTGCCTCCATATACCAATGAAGTTGCTCTGACAAAATGGTTAAAAATAAATAAGCGCTGCAAGTGATTTATTTCTTCAACCTGTTCAACCCAATTCATGAGCAGATATTAAATTCCAGAATAAAACTGCAATTCCCAAATGCATTCTTTGTTATTTAAATTCCTTACTGTAAAGATTAATACAGAAACAACAGTGTACAATTCTACTCTTCACAAATGTACGTACCACAATACATGCCACTCCTGACAGACAGATTTCATTTCCTTGTATTTCATTGAATGTACACCCCATACAATGTTTAAAACTTCAAACATTTGATCTTAATAAGAAGTATGTCACATGTCACACAAAGCAACCTTTTGTTCTACGAAACATTCTTGAGAATACAGAATTCTGACAGTTCAATTCAAGTTATGTGCAAAGCAGTGGTTATAGTGGACCTTGCACCAAAATAAAATATGCCCTACAATTACACTGTGTTTGTCATACGAAATTTAATAGAAAATCGATAATAGTCTGGGAAATATATTATATGAACTCTCAGACATTACATTCGCAAGGAGTTCGTCTATTGTGTTGTAAACAACTACAACGGAAAATTCTTTCTACAAAATAGTCGTAGTTCTGTTGTTCACCACAACAGCGCGCACAGCACGATAACCCCGTGCTACCATCTATCGACCGATATAACTACCCTATAATCATGATAAATATATAGATAAAACAAAAACATTAACTTTGCAGAAAGTTACTTGTGGTTATCGTGGCAAAAATATTTCGGATACCGATTTGCAAATTTCATTTGCGTCTTGTGTGACTTTGGGAAGGTAACGTTTTCCTTTAATTCTTGGCCATTAACACTAAATCATGGGTTACCAACCCGCAGTAAGCACACTGCGTGATTTTTTTAATGTTAGCCTGCATGATTAAAACTAGTTTCCTAATACAAAAACACACTTTGTTAATATCGGAAATATTTAACAGCACTCATCGCTCTGAACAACTGTTCAACTTGATGTAAAATGTAAATCAAGATTTAGGATGGGTCTTAATGATGAACACCTGGAGAGAGGCGTGCGAGTAGCAAGAATAACAATGACATTGATCTACAAAAAAAAATCAATATAAAATGTTCCAATAATTACTGTTTTTAACAAATAAACACAAAGCAGAAAACAAATAAAAAACGCTACCGTATTTCACGCCGCGAGGGAAATTCCAACACATCTCCATTCTGTTTCCGTTAACAAACACTGAAAATTATTCACACCCAAGAGGCATGCGATACATGTCCGAAAAACGTTACGCGTCCCTGATCTATACGTCAATTATCCCCATTAATCGTAACCTGCCTCTTCTTCCTTCAGTCAGTGGAGGCTGACCAACTTCTGGTGTACCCACCTGCACGGGGCCGGCCACCCTCGTGCCCAGACGCCATACTGCCGTCCACGTCCTCGGTGACGCTGATGACCGGCAAGGGTTGCGACCCCAGCTCCTGCAAGAATCAACACCTATCGTTACCACTTTCAGTTCATACTCCAAACAACCCAGGTTGTGATTACTGGGAAATGAGTAAAGTCCACCATGTAACAAATAAGACTTTGTACGTAAATAAAAAACGTCAGCAAGTGATCAATAACACTGAAAACTGTATATATATAGCTTTCCTTTAAATTCCAGAAAGATCGCTAAAAAAATCTGTACATCCAAACAAGAATGCAGAATCACACAAACACAACGCTGTGATTTTCTCTTGTTCCTTGCTTGATAATGGTTACCAATAAGTCAATATGTACAAAGGCAAATTTTATCTTATTTCTTAGAAATGATTCTTCGTATCACAAAAACTATACGCATTCGGTACAAACATGTTTCATTTCTCTTATCTACTGATTTTCTCGTTGTGATACGTACCTAGAAATACATAAGAAATATAAACCTTAAATATAAAAATACAGGTGACTTTGTTGCCAAAGACATTCCATTTTCAAGCTCTGTTACAATGTGATTTGTCAATATAATATTTCAACAATATCCATTCAGCGACAGACCCGTTCATACTATGTTATCGTACGAAATACACGACTTCCAAATGACAATGACAAGCAGAACATGTATCAGGAATAGGGTGCTAACCTCCAACTACCAAAATCATTCCAAATGTTACTACGTATTTACTTTGTTCTCTGTGCAATAAATCACAATAAATATCCTGGGGCCAACTATTTTAATAAAAGCTAAATTCAGTGCGGGCCGTTGATCTGTTAACAAAACAGCCTGTGAGCACAAAACTCTGTAATTTAATTTGTTCTGAAAAACAGTTGTCCCATCCAGTAAACCACGTTGACAGTAAATCTAGTCGCAAACACTGTCTCCATGTTGGCTTGTAACATGGTGAGGCGACGCAGAAGTGATAGTGTACTGGGGCCATAAATACCATCCACACGGATCAAGGTACGCCGTGACTGGGCGGCAACTTCTCCGACGCGTGTGACTTGCAGAATATCTACACATGTTACGAAGAGGTTTCAATCTGGACAGCTAGTATATTCCAGTTCAGCAATTCCGCCAATTTACGACACAATACCTTATGACTGGCAGAGCTGGTGTTATAAAACGGAGGGTTTGTTTACGTGTGACAATAAATCTCTCGCCTGTTTTCCTCATCCAGATAAATCAGTTTGTAGTGGTTAAACTACACAGACACTAGAGTAATTCCGGGCCAATGCTGGAACGTCTCATCAAAACAGATCATGCGCGAAAAGCAGGGAGCTATTCTCAAAGCCTGTCCTTAGCTATGAAGATGGCTGTCTTCCGGGTTGTTACACAAAATCGTAAAAATCTACTAGTTCTAGTTAACAGTTTCTGTGCTTGAACCAAGATAAAATTCAACTCCATCCCTGGTGATTAATAGTGCATTTATAGCAATTTGTGCATGGAAGTTGTCGCGTGGGTCGATATCTCGATAGCGCCCTCTCCGCCACTCTTCATTTCACGTCATAAACAGTGAAATATTGGCCCACAGACAGTGCGCAGAGTGCTGACCTACTCGTGCAACGAAATGGAATATAGGTCACAAAAAGATTTTTGGCACGTAAATGTCTTCTGGGTTGCTGCGCCGTGCAGTCTGGCAGATGACTTATCGCCCTGATAATGGGGGCAGCAAACACTTCTGAAACGTCGGTAAACTTCTACCAGGCTTCACGGCGCAGCATCCCATAAGATATCCAATATAACACTGGCCGCCGTGAGAACCTGCAATCTCACGAATTTAGTTTCGATGTAATCAAATGCTTTCTTGACACGATATTCGCATAAAACTTCATCGCCCCTAAATTGGCTCATACCTAAAAATATTCACACAAAATATCGACAACTTTTGTTTCGAATTTTTGAATATTACTTACTCTTTATGAACTGCAAGGAAACATAATTTGTCCGTATGCGTTTTAATATCTATCGTGTTATTAGCCGTGCCAGTCTATCTAATCTTACAGCTATACCAAGCTATCAGAATTTTATTTTATTTTTATTATTATTACCACCATTGTTAATCGCCTGTTTCCGAAAGAACAAAAATGTCACAGAAAAGTGGTAGAAGTGAATAACAGGTCTACTGAAATTGAGATATATTACAACCCACGTGTTCAGTATTCTTTAAAATCCCTCTTTGTAACAACACAGAAACAGCTACTATACCTGAATATTTTATGCAGAAATGAGCTAGATATACCGAAATAGAACGGCGGTTTTCACATTCACACAGCGCAGAGACCAGAAATTATAACACTTCGTGGAACCAGTCCTTCGTCCAAGCTTATATTTTATTCCGACAAAAGGTTGCCATGCCAACAAAGTATTCCACTGAACTATAAAAAGCGTCTGAAACACAACAGCGGAGAATATCTGAGGCTGCAGGCTTCCATGGCGACGTAAACACTTCTATCAAGACGCAACTAACGCGTTGGCGTGGATCTGGAAGGTGCGTGTTAGTGAA